GTAGTCGTAGTAGTAGTAGCAGTAGTGGTAGCGGCAGTGGTAATAGTAGGGGTAGTAGTAGTGGTAGTGGTAGTGGTGGTAGTGGTAGTAGTGGTAGTGGTAGTGGTAGCGGTCGCGGTCGCGGTCGCGGTAGTGGTGGTTGTTGTTGTTGGTGACGATGGTGGCAGCGTAGTTGTTAGTGGTGGTGTGGTTTTGAGGTTCCGAAACGCATGTGCTGGCGAGTGACTCTTCCTTCCACTTAATGAGGCTGTGAGGAATGCCAAAATTCTCTCTTGCTATGCCGCCACCGACTTTCTCAGGACAATCCTTCTTACGACTATTACCAGCGAAATTATTATTGCTGTTGCCGTGATTAATATGTGTCACTGGTGTAGGGTTTGGTGTTCAGGGTTTCGACTTTTACAGTTCCGGGATTAGGGTTTATGATGTAGGGATTAGGTTGCGGGTTTCTTCATCGCCTGGGCTGGGCTTTGATCGGATTGAGTGACTCGTTATCGGAGCCTTTAGGATCAGAGCAGTCGAGCCCTGAGCTCTAAGGCCCGAAAAGCCCTAAAGCCCACACACCAAACGTCAATCCTAAACCCTGAACTTCAACAGGCAATTCCTAAACGCGGACGGATTCTAAGCACGCAGACGCTGTTGCTAGCTAAAATCTGTGGCTCCGGATTCTGGGAAGAAGCACCAGCTACCATGTTCGTTATGTCCCGCTGGCGCTTGCGTCTGTCTTTCCTGGCGCTGCTGCCTTTAGCTTTGCTTGCAGAAAGCCTGGGGCACTGGACACATCCGTCTGCGAGTTTCGACTTCCCGAGGTTCCAAGCTCTGCTGACCTCGAAGGCTTTGTGTCGTTCTCTGGTGTACCGCCAGGCCAGGGGCAGTTCCCAATTCGGGCTGCCTTCTTGCAGGCCTCTAAGTGGTGGTACTGTAAGCGCTAAACTAAGCCTGCAAACCTAAAGCTGGATGCTGCATAATTCTAGGTGACCCCAACGACCATGGAACTGGCAGCCCGCGAACTTGGCGAAGGGGCTCCGCATGGCACGATCGTCTTGGCGGAAGAGATGACGCAGGGACGTGGGCGCAAAGGCGGCCGCTGGATTTCGCCTAAGGATGGGAACCTTTATGTCACTCTCATTCTCCGTGCTGCGGGCGAGCCATCTCGAAATGCCTACCGACGCTCGCAGGCCAACTTTGCAACGCCACTTGCCGTTGCACGGGCCGTTAAGGGTATTGAATCTGAACCCGCACTAAACCCGATGATTCGTTGGCCTCGGGCCGTGGAGATTGGCGGCCACAAAGTGTCCGGATCACTCATCGAGGTGCACGATGAGGAAGGGGTCGAGCACTATGCGGTAGGCATCGGTATCAATGTGAACGCCGAGTTTTGCAACAATGAGACTTTCTCGCAGAACGTGACAAGCTTGCGTTGCGCATCGCAGAAGGTGATCGACCGAGAACAGCTTCTGGCACAGGTTTGCGGCAATTTGGATGAGCTTCTGGATACGTCACCCGAGGACTTGCAAAAGCAATATCTGCAATGGCCTTCTGTCACAGAGCTAGACAGCGAGGTCTCCCTCCTGAATAAGACGAGCAAGCAGCCAATAGTGGATGGCAAAGTCCACGGAATTACCCCTGCAATGGATTTGGTCGTCCAGGCAGACAACGGAAGCCAGATTGAGGTGTCGGAAGTGGGTACCATCACCGTCTTTCCGAAAGGTCGACGTTACAGGGCCGAGTTGTGACGGAATTCTTGTCTCCAAAGAAAGAAGAGTGATTAACCCCCGTCGGCACTGTGCAAACCCTCAATTTAGCTCAATCTACAAGCAGAGTCCAACCCATTACACCCGAGGGAGTTTATTGGGTGGCATTTTGGAAAAATTAAAGTTGCACTTATGGTTCCCATAGACGTACATATTCATAAAGACTTGTAAGGGCCCCAAAACTACAACCCAGTTTATGATCCTGAGAAGTCTTTCCTGTTGGATCCGAACCCTATGCCATGAACCGTCGCTACTCGGCCCGGAACTTTACCTCCATGCCTAAAGCGCAAGACGTTGAAGCTTAAAGGCCTCACAGTCTGGTGTTTTGTTGCAAACCTCGTCTTCTCCACAGCGACGGCGTCAGCCTTGAATTGTAAGCATAAACCGCAGGCAGAAACCCCAAGCTCGGAGCCTTAGGTTCAGCCTTGATACCACCTGAAGAAGTCAGGAATCCTCTGTGTGAAGCGTGCTCTTGAAATTCCGAAATGGGCGTTGCTCCTGTAGAGAACCCGTCGGGGGCAGACAGCTGCTGCGATTGAGCAAACCCGGGGTTTGAAACCCTCGCCAAATCACTCAACTCTCTGTAATTCGGTCTAGCATAGAAGTCTTTTCTACACACGTATGTATAAATAATTAAATATAGTATATATATACACATACATATATATATATATATGTGACATACTAGGAATCAGATATGTTAAGACAGGAGCAGATGGCACAATAATGTAGTACAAGTGATATCAGGACATCTATATGTGTAGATACATGTGTGTATGATATATATATATATATGTATAATTTTCATATATGCCAACAGACACACACACACATGTACATCTATGCACACACACGCACATTCATACACCTGCACATGCACATGCACACGCACATGCA